ACCTTTAGGATCTTGCTTCTTGCCCCCTTCAGTCCCATACTCATATTTCCCTGCCCTATCCCTATTCCTCATCTACACTATAGACTGAAAGTTCCTGCAATTTCAGTCTTCAACTCTGACTTGAAGAAATTCCAAAACCAAACCTGAACCTGACTTGACAGAAGAGAAATCAGATGCTAATCACCCTTAGGGCAAGTGAACATTGGAAAGACTCGTGTAAAGAAATGCAATATTATGTGCCTCCTTTGGGGATCAAATACATGACTGTGTAATTTCCCTCAGGTATCAGTTCATAACTTGTAAGAATATCTCTCTCTCTTTTTTAATGTTAACTCACAACACATAAAGTCTTGTTGTAATCTTAACCCTGTGACTCTGTAGAGTGACCAGCATCTAATTTCTCCTTACAATATCAACCCCAAATCCTACATTGAGGTCATGAGAATAAAGGAAATGATCACCAACTAAAGAAGCTCTTGATTGTTAAAGAAATTCTCCTTGTCAGCACTTAGGAAATGTGTAGAGAACAGTATGGAGAATGTACAGACTCATGTAAGTGTGCAAAGGGTTACTGACAAAAAAGAAAAAAAAATTATTCACTTCTTACCTCTTTCCAGCATTCTAATGGATTCCATTATGTATGGAACAAGCAAACGGTTGACAATAAAACCAGGTGTATCCTAAGAAAAAAAAATGATTGTTTAGCTTTTTTTTTGTTATTCAAACATATTTTTCATTGTTTTTTTTTTCCCAAAAGCACCTAGCTTAACAAGGGGGATGACTATGAGTTTACTTATTAAGCCAGGAATACATTATTCAAACAATCAAACAATGACCTCCGAAAAGCAGTTAGTGTTAATTGCAAAACTTTGTCCTTTGTGAAAAAAGCACAGTTGACATTGTAATAAAAAATAACATTTAGATTTAGTTTCCTTGCATCCCTGCTTGATGACCATGTTTCACCTATAAATAATAATATTAGCAGCAGAGGTAAGGAGGATATCATGTTGAGCAGCATACCCTGGGCAATAGCTTGTACATTTTACACCACACCAGAATTTTGTGGCTAATTTTTAGGAAGATTGACATTAACAGTAAACAATTGTGAGGTAATACATTGTTCGGCAGGAACAATTTCTTGCTCACCTTACATGAAACAGGCACTTTTCCAAGTTCTTTGCTAAACTGAAATAGGGCATCAAATGTTTCCTCTGATGTTTCTGGAATACGTATGACCTAAAAAGACAAAAAAGTCAGTGGGTGATGATGTGGCATTCTGCTGAAGCTGGGGTGGTATCCACAATCTACAGATAATGGAAGATTTGATCACAACATATACCCTTCAAAGATGCTTCTCTGTTGAAAATCTTTTTAAAATTGACATCTACCATGCAAATAAGTCAATTGATGTGCCAAGATTGGAAAGATGAGAATTCTATTTAAATCAGCTTCTCCATCAAATAAACTACCAAGCATGGAAATCAACTACAGATAACAGAGTGACAGAAGTTTATTTGTTTGTTTGTGTACAGTGCAATTTGGTAGTACTATGCTGATGTTGACTTGCTGAACACAAAAAGAGGTCACCACTGAGAGCTTCACCTAGTGCCAAGTATGAAGGGGAAACAAAACTCCCTGTTTACAAAGAGGTGAGTTATTAGGTGTTTTGTTATACCTCCAAACTCAACTTTTGATGTATGCTGGCACACACATTTGCTGCGGGTTGGAGGTGCACAACCTGACGATGAGCAGTTAAAGGTTCAAGTTTTTGTTTCCCTTTGGAATAAGGAAGTTGTTTTGACCCATGAAACACGATAACTTATCCTCAAATGGGAAGACTTATTTGAGTTGTGAGGTGTAAATAAGAGTTTTTAGGTGGTAACTACTCCAAACTATCAGGAGAGGAAGACGTAGTTGTCATTCTTGATTTGATCAAAACCAGTGCAACAGAAAACCAGAAAAAAAAGCTCACCTCCACTAATTTCATCAAAGGAACAGGATTGAAGAAATGAAGACCACCAAATCTGTCTGTTCGTTTAGTAACACTGGCTATTTCTGCTATTGGTAGGGATGATGTATTGGACACAAAAATGGTGTGACTGAAAGTATAAAGATGAGACTACTTAGAAAACATTAAATCTGGTTATGTGGAAATTTCACCCAGTTAATGGTAGCTGGAATCTTTGAATTCTGGAGCAGTTAAGTGGTGGCAATTTTGCAATCAATTTTGTAGCCGTTTTTTTTTGCCCAAGTGGTTCCATATCCCATCCCTTCCTTTGTATTTCCTTCCACAAATCCAATCATTGATTACAGGTGCTTGGAATACTGAGAATTCAAAGCTTGTGACTGGGTTTTCCAGATTTTCTAGCTATCAGTGCAGTATTCTGCCTGGGAGCTAGCTAGCCACAAAGGAAGCCACAATGGAAGCCACAATAATAATAATTAACCCAGTCACAGCCTCCCTTCAACCCTTTCACCACCAAGATCTCAATATTAATTTTCCTTACTCTCCTTTAATAATTTAATAATTTACCAATTTATATAGCGCATATTTACATGTGCTGATCAATAGCACTTTACATGTTGTTGTTAAGGTTGAGATCGGACATCAGCATTTTATCAGGCACCTCTGGCAGCCACTTCAGTCCATGCAACAATCTTGCCTTCCCACCTATCCCACCCCAGGGGAGGACATCCATCACACAGTAATCTCATGCGTGGGAAATTAATGTCTCCTACCCCTAACCCTGCAGGAGACGGGACCTATAGCTTTATGTCTTATCCGAGAAGGCGAAGCAATGTGAGTGAAGAGACTTGCTTAAGGACATAACGTAGTGTCTCAGTCAGGACTTGAACCCAGGCCATCTGACCCAGAGTCCAGCGCACTGACCGCTGGACCTCCCACTTTATATAATTCATACAATGTTAGTTCTGAGAATGTGGTATTCGATCAACTAACAATCCTCTTCATGAAATTTTTACTTTTAATTATTATTGTCACTTTTCTGCTTTATTTTTTTTTAAATACTGTAAGGAGAAATTCTGTCTTGGTCACTCATGGGAGTTAAAATAACAACCATTAACTTCAATCAGTAAGTTCAATCAAATCACACTTAGTTCGTTTGACACTTATTGTAGTTTACCCACAAATAAATAATTCATGACATTATTTTGACAGCTATATTATTTGTCATTAATAGTTTGAGCGTACTGTTTCATGAGCGAGATATTTTACTCTCTACACCATAAGTCACATCAGTATGCATATATTCTCCATACTGTTCTCTACACATTTCCTTAGGTCCTGACAGGGAGAATTTGTTTCACAACCAAGAGCGTCTTGAGTTGGTGATCATTTCCTTTAATCTCCTTACCTTAAAAATGTGTTTTAGGAGTGACATATTTTGAGGTGAAATTAGATGCTAGTTACTCTTTCTGGTCTAAGGCCTTGATGATCCAAACTTCCGAAGCTATTTTGCAGTCCAGTACAGGGCTCTACACTAATGGTAGCCAACTAGCCACAGACTAATAGAAATTCAGTTTTGGCTAATGGTTTTCGATTTCCACCAACCAATTTGGCTAGTGAACAAACTGAAATTGTTGTAGCATCTAAGTTGTCACAAGCCACTCGGCTAGTAAGTTGAAAAGTGAGTGTCAATTAAGCCCCTGCCAGTATTTCATCAAGAAAGTAAATACATTAAAAAAAAAGAAAAACTTTTCTTGTTAAGATATAGCACCAGTAATGATGCATTTTAACAGAACTATTATAGTAATTTTATAAAGGAAGGTTATGGTGGCTTAGATAGCTTTCCCATTTCATAATTTTTTTTAAAATTGTCTAGTAACCCCTTTTAAACATTACATTCAATATTACATTTTTTTAAAACCATTTTTACCATGTTTAACTGCTTTTACCTTTTTAATACTTTTAAATTAGTTTTATATCTTAAGGGGAGGGTCACAGGTTTACCAGTTCTTAACTGTAATGTATCACCCTCAGTAAATAAAGTTGTTATTATAATTTAATTATTACATGAGTACACGTATTTACAATGTTTGTATACCTGGGTGCAGCTTTATCAAGTTCCGTAAAGAGATTGTGCTTTACACGCATGTTCTCTACAATGGCTTCTACTAACAGATCTGTTTCGCTGATGTTTGCTGCAGGATCTGTACTTATGCTGATCCTTGAAAGAGTATCAGTGACAAAGTGTTTTCCAGCCTGTAAGCAAAATAAAATTCAACAACTGGGTAGATGTTCTGAGATGTTCACGAAAAAACGAAAAGCTAACTGATGTCTTTCTCACAAACCCAGCTGCCAATATTGAGGAAATGTTCCCACTTTGAAAACAATTAAGTAAACACTCTGCTGATTTGAAATCCAAAGGCAAAAGTCTCCAACAGTTTCAACTGCAGTTATGCCGAAAATAATTATTTGACTCCAGGTTATCCTCTTTTTGATTCACTGGGAAAAGAGAAAAATGATTGAAGCTTTGTTCAATCAGGTAATTAATTACCCAGTTGCTATGCAAATTTTCAAATGATGGCATAGGTAGTTAAATTTTAAATATATTTCCAGACAATTTTCAAAAGGTTAGGTTATTAGCTAGGATCTTCAGAAGTCTTCAAAATAAAAAATAATTTTGAAATAGTACCTCAGGATCATCCTTAAATTTCTTTTTTGAGACTTTCTCTAAGCTTTTCTCGATGGCATTCAAGGATTTCGTCAAAATTGCGTTGGTCTGATCCACCATTGTCACCTTGTGGTTGGTGGCTGCTGCTACCTATAAAACAATTCAGGATTCAAAAATTTAAATCTATTCTGTAAATTGTCACATTATGACCTTTAAACCCCTAACACCAGTATGCATATTCTCCATACTGTTTGCCAGATATTTCCTGAGGCTCCAACAAGGAGAATTAGTTTAAATATCAAGCGCTTCTTTAGTTCATGATCATTTCCCTTTTTCTTATTGCCTTCATGTGTGATTTGGGGATGATATATATGTAAACTATGTATTTACGAATATTTATACAGGGTAGGCCAGTTTAGCAGATAGCCAGTTTAAATGGGGCCCTGTGAACACCCACCCATCCCACCCCAGGGGAGGATATCCACCACACAGTAATCTCATGCGTGGGAAAATTAACATCCCCTACCTCTAACCTTGCAGGAGATGGGGCCTACGGTTTATTCGTCCTTATCCGAGAAGACTAGAATATCTATCCATTTCTTGATATTATTGAAAGGTAGCAAATTCTCCTCAGTTATTTTAAGACCATGAGTATTGGTCCGGCCAGGGCACAAATCCTCGACCTCCTGCACAACACAATCTGACTCTCTAACCAATTGAGCTAACCGGGGGGCGGTTAAATATGTTATTGTAAGGAGAAATTTCGATGCTAGTTACTCTTTGAGGCTAAAGAGTGAAACCTCTCATCTCTCATCGCTTATCTGTCTGGTAACGTACTGACATGGCAAGGAAAATTTACTTGTTCATTGTTTCACAGGGGTAGAGTAAAACTTTGATGTAAGCTACACAAAAGCAAGCTGAAAAAATCTCCCAGAGTTAATCTCCTTCTTCTGAAAAGCATATTTCAATATTTTTAAGAAAAGAAGATCGTACGTGATAAATTTCAAAGAAGTGCAAGTAGAACAAATTACGTGCATTAATTACAAGCCGAAATCAAGACATCGCGATATATTGATCAAGTATGCGTTCGATTCAATAGTTTCCAAATTCATTAAAATAGAATCGGCTAGAAAAGGACAACAATCGCAGTTTGCAATAAAAGAAGGTGTAAAATTTGACAATTTTCCGGTGTGATGAATGAATCAAAAATAGGTTCATTCATAACGTAGAGGTTGTTCAAGGTCATCAAATGTCCATTGCCAGCTCACCCAAACCTGACAGACCACATTGATTCATTGGGGTTCGATGTAAGAGAAAACGAACCTGCAGAGGTAATTCATAAATCTCCACAAAAAGAATGCATCAAAACAGTTTATGACGAATGATTTTCTTTTGTTCATTCATGAATGTACCTGAGCAATTCCAGAACCCATTAGTCCACTACCAATGACCGTTACAGTTTTTATCGCATTTTGACTAGATGTTGTACTTAAAAACGCCGAAATCATAGGTAAGTTCTTCCTCAGTGATGGATGTCTAAGAATCTGAGCAGATGGAAGCCTTGAAGCGGTCCATTGAAAGAGGGAAGCCATGATTAAGGGAGCTATATGCGGCTAGTCACGGATTATTTCAAGGACTACCAGAGATTAGAGAGAGAATAAATTGGTAAGAGACTGGGACCAAGAAAGGGCAACGTTCAATTTCTCCTCTTGAATGACCTTCCCACTAATTTAATTTTTTTCATTCATAGATAATCCTGTACAAACTCCGATCCCTTTATCAATCAAAGCCTGAATAACCGATGTGAAGATTTTTGCTTTGACTTGATAATTCAAGATCAATTGTTTTTCAGAATGAAGGATCCGTGCAAAAAAAAAAAAATCATAATGCAGGGGTGGATATGTCGGAAAAGGTATAGTCGAAACATTGTTGAGGACCCTTTTTCCAATATTTTTCGACCGTTTATCTTTGAACTGGAAATGGTCATGGCTAGATATTTCTTATTTTCTCAATCCTTTTCTAACCTTCTACCCCGGTGTTCATTTATCCAGCGGTCGACTTTTCCTTTGCGTAGTCGGTCATGTCCGGAATCATATCCTGCACTTACGGTTCATTGACCAAAGGTCGGAGAGCGTAACAGACTGTATGTGGTTGTCAAAACTCGTGACTCTGGTCAAACGTGTTCCTCTATATAAGCTCCTTTCCCGAAAATATCGGACAGTCAGAATCTACACTTCATTAGTGTAAGTATCTTCCTTTGGTTTCAGCAGACCACATTCTTTCAGAAAGCGAATTTTTTTTCTCTGTCTATCTTGAGGTTTGGAACTCAATTAATTACGGACCTAAACTACTTAGGTACGCTCGTACCTTCATTTGATCTGTCGTGCATTTTTACTTTCACTCCCTCCCGTAATTCTCAGACAATCCGAGAAATATTTGAGGAAAAGATGGCGGATAACGCAGCCGAAGCAGCTCTGAAGTATCTAAGAGATCCTGCTATTGCTGCAGGTCTTGGAGCAATGGCAGTCGCCTCAATGTATTATTTAACTTCTCGTCCAACCCCTCAGCCTTGTCCTGTGGATCCAGAGAAACAATCTTACGAGTTACCGGTGAGTGAATGGCCTCAAATAAACGATCAGCTGTTGTCATCGTCGGTTTGATCGCATCGCATAATGCATATGATATGGCTTGATTATATAATAGTGACTTAAATCCCCGCGCCACCTCCCCTAATTTCACCGCAAAAAGTGCTTGAACTACGAGCGTCCGGTGTTTTAGAGACCTGTTTGCATAAATTCACTTTCTAATGTCGAACAAAATTACGATTTTGGTTTTACACACTTCATCCAATTTCTTAAACCCCTCATTTTCTGAAATTCAGCCAGAACATCTTCCCGCGCGTGTTAGTTCTATCTATCAGATCACTTTACGTATGTATCCCGACGAAGGCTTATAAGTATTCTTTGGTAACTCATCATTTATAAAAGTTGTTCAGTTTCGATATATTCTGTGATTTGCTCAGTAGGCAAACCATATTCTTGCCAAAACGCGATCACTCCCATTGAGGGAAATTAACACTTTGAAATGTTGCCAACTTCAGACATTCCATCTGACCTTCTATCACCACTTTTTCTTATTTCAGTCAGTTTAATCTTCTACTTCTTACACCGAAAAAACATTCTCCATAATCTTCTCTTTACTTTTCCTCTGCTACTTACGAGGAGAATTTGTTTAACAATCAAAGTTTCTTAGACTGGCAATCGTTTCCCAAAGTCCCCCTGACCTTAATGTGTGACTAAGAAGAATTATACTAGAGAGAAATTAGATGCTGATCATTCTTAGGTCATGAGCAGTTACAGCAAGCATAAACTTGGTGAATGGCCACAGTTTATTAATTGAAATTTGTTCTGATGCATGATCATTGTCAAAATTTGTTTGACAGTTGTGTAGATTATCTTAAATTGCTATAGGTAAACATCCACATCCGTGACCTTTTGGCTCCAAAGAATGTTCTTGGCTTGTTCTTGGCTAAAAAAAAAAAAACACTTGTTCAGAACAGTCCAATACTTTCCATTGTGCATCCAATATTCTTGTGAAATGCGACCTGTTCCTAATTGTTCTTCTCATTATCACTGAATGAAAACTCGTAGGCATATAACAAACAGGTTGTAAGAATTTGCCGTAATAGCTATAATAATGATGATGATGAGAATAATGGTAAATCATTGTTAGTATAATGCTAATGATAATGATGACAATAGTTATTTTACAGATCACCAAATGTAATTTTTTAAGTCTATTATTTGCTCATGCAGGATGGAGATTATGCCAGAATGAATTCTCTAACTACCGAACTTGTGGAGAAATTGTTTGAAGATGTCAGCACCACTCATGAAGCATTCCTTCATGGAAAGAGATTATCGGGTCAGTCATTTCATGTTTTAGTCTACCTTGCAAGATTTCTCTGTGTAGGAGGTTGTTAACCAGTTTCATGTTACATTTAGGTGACAAGCCCTGTTTAGGTTACCGCAGCAGTCCTGGAGGACCTTATGTCTGGCTCACCTATAATGAGGTTAGAAACTAAATGTAGCTTAATAATCATTGTGTGAAGATTAAGGGGGTAAACTCTGCCTTCAGACCTTAAAAACCAAGTCATAAAAATGCACTGATTTGTTACATGATTGCTGTACACAGATTGCTGTATTGAATACATAACTATGCCGCAAAATTAATTGCAGAATTCTTTCGTAGCTCTCCACCTGTATTACATTAAGTAACAGTTATCCACTGAATAACAATTGATTTATTGGACAGCCTTATCTGCCCTTTGGACCACTGTGTCCTGGTGTTCAGGTGGACCTGGAAATGATGAGGTGTCTGGGTTGGTATATACATGTCAGGGCTAGACACTAATGGCAGCCAACTGGGCACAGACTAGTAGAAATTCAGTTTTGGCTGGTGGTTTTTTATTTCCACCAGCCAGTTTGGCTAGTAAGCAAACTTAAATTGTTGTAACTTCTAAGTTGTCACTAGCTACTTGGCTAGTAGGTTGAAAAGTTAGTGTCAAGCCTTGCATGTATCATATTAAGATTAACAGAAAAAAAAAAAAACAAAGAGTAAGTGCCAAAGCTTGTCAAAGCTTTTACACAATGGAGCTTTTGTCAGATGGTAGATATGGTTAAACCTTTTTTTTTTTTTCTGAGAGCCAAAAAGAGAGAGGAGCAGGGATATTTCTCTATGTATCTAAGTTCACTTTTTATGATTTCCTTAGCAACTAGACTGACTCTTCCAGGTTGACACAGCTGTATTACCTTTTTTGCAATAGTTTTTTGGTAAATCTTTCCTCTAGGTCTACGAGCGATCTGCAGATGCTGGCTCGGGGTTGATAGAAATTGGCTCACAAGCAGTGGATGATGAACACGTTTTTGTTGGTGTCTATGCTCCAAATAAAATTGAGGTAAATAGCCTTGTTCAAATTTTTTTTTTTTTTGTGTGTGGATGGGTTGATTGGCAAGTTTTGTTTTCTGTAAGAGCATAAAGATGTATACATATATGCTGCTGTTCAACTTTTTTTTTTCTAATTCTCTTTTGTTTTAGATTATGAAGCAAAGGAATAATTAAAGGCTACATGTTATGAATTATTTCAAGAAATTTCTAAGCAAGTCGAAAATCTATCCACAGCATATGTGTATCTGAGAAGTAATTTGGATATATCAACAAAGTTGAAATGGTAAATTGGCCACAGTAACAATTAGAAAAGCTGAAGTTTCGAGCGTTAGCCCTTCCTCGGAGCTAAGGGTTAAAGCTCTGAGAAGTGTTGTGGCTTAATTGCATCTTATTTTCAATCTTGCATTTGGCCATGTTTTACAGTCATTGTGCATCTTTATCATAAAAAAAAAGATAAAGTGGGAAAAAGTGAAAGTTAAAATTGATTTAACTTAATTTGTTATCAAAGTCAACCCATCAGTCATTGTTAGCTTTAGCTTCATCTCAGTCATTGCCAAAAGTCCAGAAAAACTATATAAAACTTTTCAACTTTCTGTTCTTTTTCCTTAGTGGGTGCTTGTTGAACAAGCTTGTAACATGTACTCAATGACTATTGTTCCACTGTACGACACACTTGGTCCAGAGTCATGTGTCTACATCATCAATCAAGGTTAGCCGCTCCCAGAGTTCATGGCCTTGCACGCTAGCATCACATCGTGTTTTTCCCCCACTTTTTCTTCTGTAATTGTGCAATTGCTAAGCTTGTAGTTTGGTTTTTACTTTAATTTTCTTCTTTTCCCTGACAACCCTTGAGCAGTCTTGTAAAATCAAGGAGGGGGGAGGGGGTTGTTATTTCTGGTTGCATCATGCTCTGGTAACCAAGATAAGCTCCAGGGTGGGCCACTTGGCTGGAATACAGACTGATACAAACTGCAGAAACCTTAACTCTTTAACTCTCAAGATCTTATCAGTAATTCTCCTTACTGTCTGCTATACAGTTCTCATGATGTTACTGTGAGAATTTGGTATTGGATCAAATGCCAATCCCCCCAATTGATATTTTCTTTTGTTGTCATCACTTGTCTGCTTGATATAGCAATGGTATTGTAAGGAGAAATTCTATCTTGGTCTCTCTTGTAAGTTAAAGGGTCAACAAAGATCTGATTGGCAATCCTCCCCTCCAACTGCTAGACATTTCTTTGTAGATTAACGATAAAAATGTGGTGTTAGAGCAGGATAACATTTTTTACTGGATAATTTAGAGTATTCTCGTCACCTGGGGAAAGGGTGTCTATGAACTTGTTGATTCAGTCTGTGTTATTTTTATGCTTATTTGCAGCCAAAATGGTAACAGTTGTCTGCGATGAGAGCAAGATAAAGGTGCTCCTGGAACAGTGCGACAAATGTCCCAAGTTGAAGAACATTGTGAAGATTGGATCTGCTGTCACTGATGAGGAGAAGGAGGCTGGAGAGAAAGTTGGAGTCAAAATCACTTCTTTTAAAGAATTAGAAGTGAGTACAGTTAAGGAGGAATAAAGTTAGTTAGGTTGTATTTTCTTTTTCACAAACAATTTTAATTTGATGTTTACGTAACGAACATGACCCAAACCAAAACCTTTCTCCGTGTTTCGGTTCACTTCTGCTAAAGTACCATCGTTTTCCTTTTTTTATTAACTGAACACTTGGAAACTGGTTACCATGGATTTTAAATGGCAAAATGTAGGCTAGATTTTTTGAAGCGCGCCAACCGCTACATAGCTCCCTTCTCGTCCGCGGTTTAAGGGTTAAAATATGTGAGACATGGTGGATAATTTATTTTGTTAGTTATCTCCAACAATCAATGTGTGCTCTTGTTGATGTTGATATTTTCTTACTTGTACCTGTATCAATTTTTGTGTTTGTTTGTTTTTCTTTTTAACAGGAAATAGGAAAAAATCATAGGCATGAGGAAAAGGTAGCTAAAATGTCATAGTCAGTGTCATTGGTTCTATTTAGCTGTTTTACGAATTTTTTAATTTTTAAATTCGTAAAGGAGTCAAAACTGTTTTACCAGTGACATAATGTAGGACTAAATTCTGGTGTAAGGTTTCACTGCTTAACGATAACAAGTTTTGAGTGTTCAAAGTAGTAATCCGGAGATTGTTTTGGTTTCCTTTTACTTCTGTTTAACAATTGGTTCATGCTTTAGCGTGCACTATCGAGTTATGGAGCACGCGGGAAGTTTGGAGAGCACGAAAGAAGCGTAAGAGTTGCCTGAGGCGATAGCCGAGGGCAACTCTAGCTTCTTGAGTGCTTTCCAAACTTCCCACGTGCTCCATAACTCGATAGTGCACAGCTGAAAGCATGAACCAATTGTTTTAGAACATAGCCGGTGGAATTGTGCATCAAAT